GAGGGCGTTACCTGAAATGAATTTTTGGGACACTGTTGCTTCCACGTCTCCAGAGGATAAATGGTAATCAAGACTGACAAGAGCACTACCATCATCAACCGAACCACCGAAGAAAAGGGACGCTTGGAAAAAAAGGCTCATAGCGGCTTCATTGAAATTCCACCTAAAATGGCATAGATTTTAACTGCTCAACCACGGTAACAATGTTTGGCAGATACAAGGAGCGTTTAGTTGACGAAGAGCTCTTAATTCAGACAGGACCCAACATCATCAACATAGACGAGCATGTCTATAACTCTCCGTCATATCGAAACTTGTGTAAACTTCCAATAAGGAAAATGAAGCTACTTTCATTGTCCTTGGCAATCTTAATGATCATACCGTTCCATCCGCTTTGATCTTCACCTCTTGCCGTTTCCATAAGCAGAATGCTTCCGGCTTGAGATGTCCACTGAGTTCGCAGTTTTGTAATACTTTTCATATAAGGTACTGGCTACCGCATTGCAGGAGGAATTATCCCTCTCTGAAAGCAAATTTGCATTTACCTTGTTTTTACAGGTAGCATGCTGGTCTCTGAACAGACGTCGGGTTCCATACGCTACATTTGTGGCTGAATAAAATGATTTCTATTCAGCCAATTTAATGTCCTTTTCTTAATCTCTAGATCATCTGTGGGTCGAAGAGAACGAGGTTTTCTTTATGTCGTCCTGCATTTGAACTCTTCCCTCCCCTTTTTTATGCGTAGCAGCCAGCGCTGCTGCGCACAGTTCATCCTCCCTCGTGTTCTTTCGTTAGAACAACTGAATTTAAGGCCTGAAAGTACAGGAGAAAGAGGTACTCCTTTCATAGCCTAAATATTTGACAGGCTATCGAATGCACTGGATGCCAATGCGATTTTCTTATTTAATTTTAATTGGACTGTGCATCGCTGCGATGACTCTGTAAAGAGTTAAAATTTTGCCAAGGAGTGAGTAACCCATCCGAAAGTCTGTTCCTCGACTTCAGCGGAATCTTCTATCAACTGCCCGTCTCTGCCTTTCCAGGATAATCTAAGAGAACAGTTTCTAGACAGTGTAGGATAGTTGGAGCACTCGGTGGGATACTACTTTTGGCAAAGCATTCAGATTACTGAAGTATCGTTGGCAAATTATTGCCAAATTATTATTCGATCAAAATGATGCAAAATTCATTCACTCGAGAGATGGACAAATTACTGTGCAACAGCGATCTTTTAGAATGGCATTGAATATATACACTACCAAGGCAGCTCTTCATAATGCTCTGTAACACTTATTTATTTTTCAATTTGAAGAACTGTTCTACAACTGAAATTATTCATACAGTAGACAAATTTCATAAAGCACTGTAAAGATATTATTGTAGTGATATTTAAAACTTATCGCGTTCCACTATTTATCTCGGGAAATAACTAATCTCTTTTCTTTTCAGAAACGACGACAGCGATGAATCAGAACATTCACTGATGTTTTATGGGATATAATTTTCTGTATATGCCATTTTGCTATCTTTGCCATGTCAAACAAGTATCATGGCAAATTACCAGGTACACTGATAAAGTTGAATCGAGTTAAAAGTTTAAAACTGTGTATCATTGGCTTTCTTTACACTTGCAGGAATGCATGACCTGCGATGTCTACCTCAGATGTAGTCCTTCGAAGCACTGATAAGGTCTTGGGCTAATGACTCATTAGACGAATTATGTAGTAGCTGGCCAATAGGAATATCCAGCGTCACGTTTTGAAAACTTCTTGAGCAGAAGACATGGTAGGCTTTCAATTATATTTTTGTTTAGATGTGGGAGAAGAAATTTAGGTCAAATTTAGCACTGTTTGACCGTTGTCTTCATCAGCTCCATTATTTCAGGTTCCTGTCTAATAGTTACCGTGACATATGAATATATATTTCTGTTTAAATTCATCAATCAAATATACGTGATTTACAGGTTTACCTGCAATCCTAGGGCAAAATTTTCCAAAGCTTTGCTTCGAAATTAAATGCTGCACAGATGCTGCTTCAGTTGGCATGATAATTACACAAGAATGTTTTCGGTTTAAGTTAACGTTCTCTGTATTTGAAGGTAAATCATTGAACAATCATAAAGAGTTCTCCACTTGTGACCCAGACGGTCCTCAAGGTCGATTACAAGACTTGCATTCTGAACATCTTGCTCTATGGCCTGGAGACGGCAGCAATTAACAAAACTGAACACGGCAAAATGGAAGCGATGGCTCTGATGATTAAAAGATCAATAGTTGAAGTGAAGGGTACTATCTGATGTAAAGTGATGTTTTGAGAGAGATTAAAATATCCAGTTATAGTTAATGACTAATTCCAAACAAAGCGCTTATGAAGATGGGACCATTGCCAGCAAATAGAAGTAGGCGCCTTGTGAAAAGAAGATTGAACACATTGTCTGGTAGAGGCAGCCGCTAGGAAAACCTGAAACAAGTTAAGAAGATGTGGTTTGAATTGACATCACATCGAAAGAGCTGAAGAGTGAGCACGTATTTATTCGATCCAGGTAAAATGCCTCGATACCGTGGTAAAAACCGTTCTATGCCCCCCCCCCCCGGATATACATGACGTATCGGCCCAGAGCCTTTACTTATAGATGACTAGGGAACGGATTGAGAAGGGCACGGTTCTGTAGCATCTAAGCATTTGCTGCCAGCGAATGCTAAGCTGCACCTTATTTTCAGTTCGAAAAAAATCGCTTTCGCAAAACAGCTGTTTTTGTCATTGTTGGTGTGAAATATCCCTTAAAGATATAGCCAGTGAGAGCCGATTCGAGAAAGTGGCATGTGGTCCACGTATGTGCAGGCAATATCTTGAAGACCCCGCAATGGACGTCTGTACACTTGAATAAAAATTCAAATAATGTTATTGAAATTACGGTGACGTTAGTTCATGACAACAAAACACAAATTTTTATAATTTAACAGGCAACATTGAAAACAACGAATAGTCAATAACAGATATTATTCAGTA